GGGTAAAGCTTCCCATCACTGTTTGGCATGGTTCTGGAAGTTGGTTTGGCTAAGGGGCTACTTACCCATCGATGGGATGTTCTTCCCATCGCTGGGTGGGTGGTTAGCCAAAAACCTATGGTTTTTGCCTTAACCACGGCCTAGCCAACCGATGCAAAAACCGACCGAAAAATCCAAAGTTCTCCAAAATAAAAACCAAGTGTTTAAAACACTTATTTGATGTATTTGGCTAAGAAATCAAGTGAGACACTTTAAAAATCACGTCATTTGAGTAAAAACCACGGCTAGCCAAGTTTACGCCGTTTTGCGTGGTTTTTGTCAAACGACTAAAAGCGAGAGATGGTTTTCAAAGTGTTTTTGTTGGAGAACCGTTTAGACATGCCAAAGAGTGAAAGCAGATCATAAAATGCTGAAAACCACTTGGTTGGTTCGGATGCCAAAAACCAAACCCGACAACCGAAAGCCGAATGCTGGTTTCTGAAAGCCGAACACTGGTTTCTGAAAGCCGAACACTGGATGGCTTGGTTTTTGGTTTGGGCGAACACCAAGTGTTTTCAATGACTTAAACAAGTTTAAAACCATTTTTATGATGTAAGAAATGCAATGAGAGTTTTTAGCCTAAAGAGCCAAAGTGTAAAGATTGGGTCGGTCTTGATCACAATAAAGACCGACTCAATACTATGATTAAGGTCTTCGTTCTTGGTCTTCGTTTAGCTCTTGCTCTTATTTTCGTTCTTCGCCTTGTATATTCAATGTTCGACTTGATCACGGCGGTTTGGCATTATCAAAACCTGTTACAAAAACGAACACGGCTTTAGTACGAAAACGTGACAAGCCCGTGTTTCAACAGACATGTCAATTATGCAAAGATTTTAGGTATGAACAGCCCTTACAACCAAGATTGATGAAATGGCTAATGTAGAATTGATTTATATATGAACTAAATTGTAATAAGGAAATCCGTGAATAAGTAGAATCGGACAAAGAATTCAGGAAACTTACCGTTCTTGGGCAAGAGTCTAGCGTCGATGAAATTTCGCTAAGCACAATTTCATCTTGGAAGGAAACTGCATCCGTTGCCAAGGAGAGTGCGAATTCCAGATCTCGCATATCATTTGCGAAGGAAATTGCAGATTTCGCTCAACTCCAAATCCAAATAGCAGAAATCAGCCTCAACTCCAATTGATTGCGAATTACTGTAATTTCGTTCATCTCATTGATCGCGAATCTCCAGAATGGAAATTAGCAGAAATCGCGTATAATTGATCGCGAAGTCTGTTCTCTCAAGGTCGAAGGCGTGGGTTTTCCCCAAATCAGCCATCCGGGTTTTTTCTCGCCATAAGTACATTCATCACATTCATGATACATGGCAGCTGAGCTGTTAAATTTTTTGTCCACTCAGCATGACAAATGTCAACATTCTGGAAGTTTAACTCCCAAATATAATATATAAAGGACTAGTATAGTATTTTGACCCGTTGGATGCATGGGATCGATCAAAATTTTTATCAATTCTGAATTTTTTTAATATAATACATTTTCCAGAATCAAGTAAATATATTTCTAACATTATTTTTAATCAATGAAAAAAACAACAAAGTAGAATAAATAGGTATTTGAGAAATTGAAAGTGTACTCGAAAAAATCTTTTTGAATTTTAAATTTTTCGAAAGACTTGAGGGTACAGAACATTTTTCGTATGGTTGTAAGGGTTTCCATTGTCATCTTGTAGAAATTAATAAGAGAGAAAATAGTTTGATTATTGAATTGTTCTTGTGAATACAAAGGTCTAACCCTCTTTATATAGGAAGAGAGTAAAGCATATAAGTAAACTTTTATTCCTACCATGTTTCTATTCCTACTATAACAAGAACTAAGCAAACTAGGAAAGATACTAAACCAAATCCCAAAGGGATTCAGTTTCCTTCTTTTATCCGGCTTCCTTCTTCTGTCGCCAACACCCCCCCTCAAGCTGGATCATGGGAGTTCAACATGCCCAGCTTGGACATTAAGAGATTGAACAAAGCAACAAATCTTGAGGAAGTCGCTGCCATCGTTGTCCAAGTGTCATCTAGACACTTCAGTTTTTTTTCTTCAACGGAGACGCCAAGCTTTTCGAATCCGCCGAATAATCAGTCGAGTAAAGGAACGCCATTCTTTTTGAACCTTCACCGTATTCGAACAAACAGGGGGAACACCATTCTTTTCGAACACCCTGAACGCCGACTTTTTTATTGCCTACTAAGGAAAGAGTTGTCTGTCTCTGTAGAACAACCCTTCTCAGACAACTTCTTCAAGATTTATGGTTGGGCGGGATTCCTCGACAGCAATGTTTTTCGTCAAAGGAGTTCATGATATTCTTTAGTGAGGGAGAACAATCAAAGAAAATCAAAAATTACAATATCCCGCCGGTAGGCATTGAATTGTGTATGCCCACCGGCAGGGGAAGAAGCGTGTTTGAGGTCTCAAGAATTCAAAACTTGCTCTGATACCATGTAGAAATTAATAAGGGAGAAAATAGTTTGATTATTGAATTGTTCTTGTGAATACAAAGGTCTAACCCTCTTTATATAGGAAGAGAGTAAAGCATATAAGCAAACTTTTATTCCTACCATATTTCTATTCCTACTATAACAAGAACTAAGCAAACTAGGAAAGATACTAAACCAAATCCCAAAGGGATTCAGTTTCCTTCTTTGGTTTGGGCGAACACCAAGTGTTTTCAATGACTTAAACAAGTTTAAAACCATTTTTATGATGTAAGAAATGCAATGAGAGTTTTTAGCCTAAAGAGCCAAAGTGTAAAGATTGGGTCGGTCTTGATCACAATAAAGACCGACTCAATACTATGATTAAGGTCTTCGTTCTTGGTCTTCGTTTAGCTCTTGCTCTTATTTTCGTTCTTCGCCTTGTATATTCAAGGTTCGACTTGATCACGGCGGTTTGATAATGGCAAACGAGACGAGGTTATGCATAGGAGGATTATTTTGAAAAAGGTGTTCCCCCTTAATAGATGCTATTTTAAAAAAAAAATCCCCCTTAATTTATGCATAACCTTAGTATCTTCCCCCTTTTGACATTAACAAAAAGAATTAAAAGTAAACTTTAGAATTGTAAAAGTAAACTTTTATTCATGAAATAGGGAAATGCGGAATACAACGGAATGGGAAAAAATAAGAAATACATTCATAGGAAGAAGAGAAAGGAAAAGTCTAAGCATCGGCGTCCTCGTCGTCATCCTCGTCGTCCTCGACGTC